CCTATGCAGGGGGTCGGACTCAATGATCTATTGAGGTCCCTTCCGACCCTAACATCTATGAATCTATGACTCCTTAGTTGGAACCAATGAAACAATATTGTGTTTCTTTGAGGATAGTTACTTGCATTTCAAGACAGCACTGAGGAGTCTCCAAACAATTTTAAAACCTGAGAAATAAATATACAAAAGTCCTAAATTAATGTATGAAAATTAACTTTTTCTCTTTCAGATTCCCACTTTCGAATTTCTGTGTGAAAGACTTCAAGCATACCAAAAAAGTTACAATGAATATATCAGGGGATCATTTCTCGATCTGGTGTTTTTTAAAGATGCAATGACTCATCTTGTTAAGGTTTATGGGTTTTTTTCACATATTTTGTTTAGATGAATAAACCTCATGAGTCATACTCATGAGTCGTACTCATAGTCTGTACTACAGAACTAAAATGACAATCTGAATTCAAATTGTCTATCAGGTATTGTACAGAGTGTAATTGTGTGCGCACCTTAATCCTCTTGGAAGGAAGGAAGGAATAAGATACAAACACCTTGATATAGAAGCCAGGCTTGTATATGAGTTATAGGGTGGATGTAACATGCTTCCTAGTTTACATTGTCTTGGAAATATACGTTTTTAAAGTTAGACATTGATGCCAAGATATACATGAGTAATACCTATGAGGTTTAATAAAGGATAGAAAAATCAGTAAAGAATGGAATATGGAATGCCTTTAAGTTAATGTAAAGGTATGTATGTGGGGAAGTCATTCAGAAGATTATATGTATGAAATAACTCTATCAAAGGAAGCATGAATGGCAGATGTATTAGAAGATAATGGTAAGTGATAATAGTAAATGACTGATTTAATGTTTAGTCAGCAGCAAAAATTGAAAAGCCTTAGGTTGTATAAAAAAGAAAATGGTGCCTTTCAACACGTTACACAAGATGGAATATTGAAATGTTATGTAACTGACAGGGCTACCTGGCTTCTTTGACTTGATTGAGTCTGCCTTCCTGCCTCTATATGTTATGATAATACCGTATTTACTGGAATGCAAAATGAGATTTTTTTTCCCTCCAGTCAGCATAGGAGGGGGGGAAAGGCCCCTCATCTTACATTTGTATATAAAGAAACTTCATTAAATACATTGTCTATTTTTAAATTGCGACCAAAAGCAGCATGTGCTCAGTAATGCAAACCAACTTTAAGCCTTGCATATATTGCTTACATATTTCTCATAGATGAACAATCTCAAGTCTAGCAGCCCTCATCCCTCCATCTCTCTTGCTTTGTAAAGTTCAGATCTAGCCAACCTTTCTCTATTGGCATTCCAGAAGAATATGCATATTTACCTCTGTACTTTTGCTGTCTGCCACCACGTTAGTGAATACAATTCCTGTATATAGAATAACCGGCAGTAGCACAGCCTTAAACACTGCCACTTTTCCAGCAAAGGACAGTGTCCTTTTGGACTATAACCAAAATATTTGTCATAGCCTTGCCATCATCCTTTTCCATGCTGTATTACTTTTCCTTTTGGCATCCATCAAGATCCCTAGCACTCTGATTTCTCTATCTTTTATTTGATGGCCTAGCTTCTCCAAATTCTTCCAGTTCCCCACTCTCATTATCATGATTTGTGATCTATTTATTTTAACCCCCATTGCTTTTCCATATTCTGATGTATGTTTTAGCACCCTTTCCATTGAAAGTCTATCTCTAACTACAACATTTATATCATCCCTGTATAGTGTTACCAGATTTACCCATCACCTTGGGGCGTGCTCATTTATTAGGGATACATTTCTAGGGTCTTGGTAAATCTATCAATGTGCTGCTTGTGTTACTTGTGTTTCTATACGGAGCTGTATATCTCCCTTCTGCAAGTCCTCACCCCCCCAATGGAGCTATCTTGCAGGACTCAGTTTCAATGGGGCTGGGTTCCTCCAAATCAGTCAAATACACACAAACACACAGATTAAAGTGACACGCCTGACCCGGCCAGGTTGATCAGCATGGATAGGCTGACACCCTCATAGGCCAAGAATCAGCTCATCAGAGCAACAATAAACTGCAGTCAAACACAAACACACAGTTAAACAGAATACCTCTGAATCTGGCTGGGTGTCTAGCTGACACCCTCATGGGCCAGCATTCAGTTCATTAGGGCACGTCTGAGTCAAACTGGGTCAATCAGCCTGTACAAGCTGATCCCCTTATGTGTTTCAAACTCAGCACGTTCCAAGCTTTAGCCTCTTGATGAGCAGACCCCACAGTATTTTTGGGCTTCACAGGGATCTTTAGCTTAGGTAAAAGAGGCGTTGCTGCAGAGCAAGTGGGGAAGGAGAAGTAGAGAAGGAAAAATATACCCAGTTACTACCAGTTTGACTATAAAAGTTATTTATTGCTAAGTATATGAAATATATAATGGTACTAGTAGTAACAGACATGCAAAGGAAAACAACACAAACAATGACAATACTACCCTGGTTTCACTAAGTATTTGGGGAAACTTAGCTCAAGCTGAACTAATACAGTTCAGGTTCAGAAATCTATGCCCAGAGAGAAAAGAGAAAGAGCGAGAGCTAGGATCTCACCAGTCCAAGGCACTCAGGTTGCAATGCTGACAGGTAAAGTTCTTAGCACAATCTTTGAAAGGAGACGATCTGTTTCTTCCAGCGTCTCGAGAACAACAGTGGATAGTATCAGAGAGACTTTTCTTCTTGAAGCACACACACACTTTGCTGCTTTTTTTACAGATTTTTATACCCTCAGTTCAGCTTCTTCAAAGCATTCTCAATAGTGTAAATCATTGTCTTTTCTATTGACAAGGGGTTATCTGGTTTGGAACATCTCAAGAATTAGGAAAAACATACGGTTAGGGAGTAACCAGACACTTAGGAGCCAGCTTGAAATTCCTATGGATAGCAGATATACTGATGGGATATCTCATGGTTTCTTCAGAAACAATAGATAGCTGGCAGCATCAGGGTTTTGGATTTTTACTTGTTGTGAACAAGCCTCAGCTTAGCATGACTTTTCCAGACCTTACTATAGTCTTTTAACAGACTTAAGGTAATTATCGGAGTGTTCATAACCTTTGGTGGGGAGGACTTCCACCAGTCGTCCCACGAAAAGTATGACAACACTTGTGGTCAGGGCTCCAATGGGCTGGACGCTGTGATGAACCCTTTACCATTGTTCAAATGTTGCCCATACCCCCTCTGACTCAGTCTCTTTGCCTCAGCATTCCCTAACCCGGCAACTGAGTTTTAGCCAATCAAGTTTAAATAGGCCTCCCATAGTGGGACCTGGGAATGTACGACCCGAGATTCCTATTAAACTTTACTTCTGCTTAGAGGTGTGTGTGGGGGGAGGGGGGGAATCCTTTGTAAATCCAGATTAGAACTGGTTCAATAAATGCTGAGCTGGGTGTGTGTAAATGTGGATTGATTAGCATTTGGAGCATAGATTCCCCATCATGCAGTGCTCCCCTGCTTCTTTGATCCCAGAGTTCACTGCAGTCTTTGCTTTGGGCTTTCTGTTCTCCATCTCCCATGTAAATGAGTGGTCATCTTGTTCCATCTCGGATGCAAATGAGACCTAGGGCAGTTGTTTCACTCTTGTTACCCTTATCTGGAGGGTTTTATGTGTGTCTCCCACTGCATCTTAATCAGTTTTGTTTAGATAGAGGAGGGGAGGGTGAGGGGGGAATTCTTTGTGAGTCAGACAGGCTGTGTCCTGTGTCAGGGTTCCCCAAGAACATGGAGCTAAGAGGTAACAATAGTACGCATTTTACCTCACCCCCTCCTGGTATCTTTACTCTGCTTATGACCTTCTGTTTTCTTATTCTTTGTGCTAATGGTTCCATGTCACACACAAATAGTAGTGGTGACAGGGGCACCCTTCTTTCACTCCTATATGGATTTAAAAAGACCCTGCTTAGGTGCCCATGAATTTGGACTTGACTCTGCTTGTCTATACAATAACCTTATCCAACTATTAATTTATCTGGGAACCCCATTTTCTTAGCACCTCAAATATGTAATCACGATCCACTCTATCATATAATTTTTCTAAAACTAGGTTTGCTTTAACTATTTTTTTTGCCTGTCTTGGATGTGAGACAGTATATCTCTGATCACACTGATCTCTTTGGAGATCGTTCTACCTGGTACTTTGCATACTTGGTCTTCCTGTATTATCTGATAGAGGTTTTTCCTCCTCCTCAAAGCCAGCATCTTGGCCTTTAACTTATAGTTCATATTAGACAGCATAATCAGTCTCTGGTTTTTCAGGAGTTCCTTCTCCCCTTTCTCAAAGAATATGATCACAACCCCTCTTGTAAAATCTGTCCCTGTCTCTTCTGTTTCTGCTATTTCCTCAAACACTTCCACTGTACCCTTTCCTACCCGTGCCCAGAACTTTTTTTAAAATTTCATAGGCAGATGAAATGATACATGAGCAGAAGGAAGTTTGTCCCCTACTTTCTCTACTGGCATGACCCTTTAGATGTACTTTTCCATCCATCTTTCTATATCTTATGCCTCTAGTAAATCTGTATACATTTGAACCATAATCAGTCCTTCTCTTGACTTTTCCCCTGCTATAAACTTTTTCCCTCTTAATTCCTCCCTCCATGTTTCTCTGCATATTTCTTCCAAAAAATCTCATATCCTTCTCTGTCCCAGTAAATCAGTTCCCAAATTGTTTGGTTCAAGAAAGCAATCAGACTGGTGAGATGTTCCACTTGCACCTCCAAAATCTCAAACAGTACCTTTTTCAAGATATCATATGTGTTCATTGTTGATCCTGTCTGCCTCCTGTCACTGGTTAAAGTTGCCTTTATCCTCAGCCTCTGCTCCTCTCTAACCTCTCAGTGCCTTTTTTCCATGTTTTCCTGCCATGCCAATCCTGGTGGGTCAGCCTGCTGTTGTGCTCCTACTGTCCTCTGCTTCTCCTCTGCTACTGTCTTCTTTCTTCTGCGCCTGTCTGCTTTCTGGCATCATCACTCATCATTGCTGCCTCCACATATAAATTTTTGGATGATCCCAAGACTTGTGACAAGTCATGAATGGGAGGCTAATTAGCACATGGATCCTTTTTGAGCGGGGGAGGTATATCTGGAATACACATACATACTGAGCAGTACTGAGGTATGGGGTCATGATGGCTTGACATGCTGTTGACTGTGCTGGGGCCCAGCCCAGTGAACTATATGGTAAATCCTCAGCTTTTTGGCTTTGGACTAATATCATGTATCATTTGTACTATATATAAGTAAATGCCAACGTGCTCCTTAAAAGTGTGTTTATAGAGTATTTGCACTAAAATTTGCAGCAGTTTAAAAAAAATGTAACATGCATCAATGTTGGCTGAACTAAGTTTATGGGTACTATATGCAAATTACTACAGCTGTGTTTATTTTAAATTCATTGTTTTCAAATTTGCTGTTCAATTCCATGTGCTCAGGGAGAGAGAGCATGGTCTGACAATAAGTGTGGCAGGGGAAGGGGGGTATGGGGAGAAGGGGCTGCATGGGGAGAGAAGTTTGGGGGAGGCAAAAAGGGGGCTACGTGATGCCACAGTTTTATTTTCCCTGCTGTAGAGGTGGGATGGAAACAAATTCAAGCCAAACCCTCAATGATTAGATTCTATACTTGGAAAATTGTAACAAAATTATACATTTTCCATATATAGAATCTACTTATCGGGGGTGTCATCAGGGTCGTCTTATATTTGAGTAAATATCATATGCCCTTTATTTACTGATGTATGGCACACAGTGCTACATAAATATATTTGACACAAAGTGCAATAGTTCAGGGGTGCTCGACCCCCTGGCCCATATCCAGATCCAGCCCACTGCAGTCATCCAGCCTGCAGTGCTACCCATGAGTATGTGGGGAGCTCATGCATGATGGCCCTGCATGGTAGATTGGGTATCAACCTTAAATTCTACGTATGTTTTATTTTGAAATCCCACATGTTCTTCAAGAATTAGAAGAACTATGCCACATTTCTACATGCAAGTCTCACATAGCTTTTTGGGGGATGTAATACTGCTTTATTTGAAAATCAGATCCTCCTAACTTTTCTGGAACAGAAAGCTCTCTGCAAAACAAAGAATCCTTCTGCTGATCTCTGAGCTGTCAAAAGGGATTCTACCAAATAAGTTTGGAATATATGTAGGGATGTATTCAAATCACAGAGCCCGGGGCCAAATTTCACAGACTTGTTGTGGCTCCAGGGGGCCATTTCCTA